TCGGTATTCAATTTGATATATATGAGTGGCATCAACAAGAAAATAGCAGGAAAACGGTAGCCATGAATATATTTAGTGTTATATTTGCTTAGTTTGTAATAAGCGACAAGCAAATGTCATTAAAATAACAGCGTCGAAATTTTATATTTAAAAATTTATACAAATTTATGGTGGTAATTACCAGAAAATATAATGAAACATTCATCATGACAACACCGCAAAGGGGGGAGTACGTGATAGTGACATGATAGTAAGAGGGAAAGCCGATTTGTTGGACAAGTAAATACGGCAATTTCTCGTGTTTTTGGTGATAACAAGTGATAATCGTAATATTAATAAATTGTTACGCTTAAAAAAAATCGTGCAAAGTGGTTTCATTTGCAGGAAAATCGTCCTGAATTTTCCTAACCTGTACTGTTTTGCACGATTGTAAACAGGGACAAGAGCCATATTTGATCCCTATTGAATCGCTATCAAATGCTTAAAAAAATTGCATTACTATTATAGCGTTTATAATTTCAAACATATAATGTAGAGATAAAGGTCAGAAAGTGAATTAATCTTTCATGCTTAGAATAAATCGATAACACAAATTTTTACTACGCCTATGGCTATTAGCCAAACCAGTTGATTTTCCGATTAATTCTACTTTTCGATGGGTACCTACTTTATCCCTACCACCTGTTTTTCATTGATAAATCGCCGATCGGTAGAATTTAATGTTGGTTCCAAACAAATCGGGATTTATGAATTACTAGCTTGGTCTATTTATTAATGTCTCATGCTATTATTAACAAACTAACAATAGCTTGAGAATAAATATTTAAACAAAAATTGCTTTTAGATATCTTATTATATTGTTTTGAACAAATACTTTTTCAGACACGAAAGATCAAATAAATGTACAGATTACTGTGTAGATGGAACTAAACATAACTCATATTCATTTAGTCGCCAATAAATAAATATGTTTGTGATGGCAAGTTTTAAATGGTGATCGTATAAAATCTCTAATGGCGACTTCTAACAATTATCTAGCGTTTCAAATCGACGAACTGTCATAGAGTTAGACAATGATAGAAGTATTTAAATCTTCGGCTGGTTGACTTCTAAAATAAGAAAAATTATGAAAGGGAGAAGATATAAAATTCCTACATGCAACAGTAAACAATGTCCGTTGATCGATGCGTTAACATTATCTGATAGAAAAAACGCTTTAAATCACAATACAAAATTTCGGACATTTTAATTCTCCTAGACCTAGGTATTCTATTGAATTCATCGTTATGTTGTGGTGATTCTCAGGAAACTAAAAAGTAAAGTTATAAACTTTTTACAAACGAGTTAATTTAATAAATGAAGTAATAAACATGCCGCCCAAATAATAAAATACACCATAGAAAATTTACTCCAACAACTGACATTAGCCGTAGAGAAATGTTCACCCCAGACAAAACTCTTCTTACCAAGATACCCTACCTGCATTCATACTAAGACTGATGAAACGGAAAAGGAAAATCTACCGACTATACAGAGTATACAAGCACTCATATTAAAAAGAAAACTCAATCAACTCAACAGAAATGTCAAAAGCTTGATAAACCAATACGGACAAGACAAATGGCTAGAGACTTGTCAAGATTGAACTGGACAGAGAGAAAACGTATTGGTAAATATAAAAACAACATCCGCAACAACATCGGCAAACTAGACGAAAACGCACACTATCCTGATCAAGACAAGGCGGACGCGCAGTTTCAAGGGAATTTTACAACCACAAAAAACTCAATTTTTGACAACTAAAACTGTACTCAAATAAATGACTGGTACGAAAACTTATTTAACGATGAAGCTGACTTGTCAAATCAAATAATCTCTGACACAGAATACGACAAGGTAGTGGCAAACATTAAAATCATGCATCGCTTATCACGATATTTGCAGTTAATGTCTAACATTATTTTTTTTTCCTAACTGCGTGGACTTGTTATGATATTCCTATCTTTTCTGGGTCTCAGTCAAAGTGTGAAGAACAAATTTTGAAACATCGTTTATTTCATTACGTTTCGGCGAGACAACAGAGCCATCATCAGATTAAAAATTTTACACAAACTACAAACACCAATTCACAATTAAAACATGTTGTATAAAACTTGAAACTTGAACGTCCTTTTAGGTCTTTGCCTTCTTGGAAACCTTGAGTTTGTCTGAATTATTTTCTACATTTGCGAGAGTGGTATGCATGTATTGAGATAAGCAGAAATAGTTTTAATTTTTCACTATTGTACCGGGTGTTCCATACTTATGGCTTTATTAGGGTTTGGTAAATGTTGCTAAGGTTGGTAATAATATAGACAACAGACTTTGATTGCCCAAATGTTGAGGTATTCTACAGAAGTTTTCCAAGTTAATTGTCATAAGTGACCAAAACTACCATTACAATACTAAAGCTTCTTTAAGCAACGTGTCAAGATTACTGGACAATGATTACTATTACAGTAGAAATTTAAAAAATATATTTCCAATGTGAACATGGAATTGAAATACTTTGCAATCAGCGGTGGGTGGCACATTAGCAATACTTCCGAAAAATAAGTGAGGGTTTCAGCTTCGAGAAAATAAAAATAAAGCCCTAACGCCTTGATAGACCAGTAAAATATACTCAGAACTTGTACGACGTTCGTAAAATTTGGACTAAATTGTCACAAAACATGATTCAACTATGGGGAAAAGGATACAAATTCAAATTAGGATAACCCATAAATCTAAAACAAGACCTTTGCAGTCATATATAGGGTGACTCAAAATTCTTGTCATTACTGGAAGGCTTTGTCTGGCAGTGGTTTAGGAGTACGGAAATAATACAAGAAAAATTAATTGTTTTTAAATATTAAAAAATTAAAAAAAAAAACTATATAAGCAGGATGGCAACAATGTTTTTGAGGTAATCTGCCTAATAAACATTATGTATAAACTTGTTGCTACGTAATTATTAAAAACTCAGGTAGCCATGGAAAAATAGATAAAGTGGCAATAAAATAGTTGAGGATAACCTCAACAGGATTCGTTAAATGCAGGGATTTACTTTTGTGGAAATGCCAAATTGTTTTTTGTTGTCATCTTAACCTCGAATTGGTGTGTGTACAAATAAACATTCTTCTGTCTTTAACTCCAAACATCTTAGCGCCGGTGTAATCACCTTATTGTGCACTCTTCTCTTATTCGGTTAATTAGCTCCTGCTCAGTTTGTACCGGTGGTCAGTGAACCATTGGTTTAATGTGTCCTTGTGTTCTGTGCATCTTACACACCTGGTAGGATTGCAGCTCTTTCTCAGTATTTATTTCGTGTATGGAAAATTGTCAGTTGTTGTGCAATGCTATATACCCCTGGAATGCTCTGCATGAATTATCTCCAATACCTGTTCCTCTGTGTCTGGAACTCTAACATCTATTCTGGTTCAATGTCTTGTGGCAGAACACATCATTGCCGCTTTGACTTGTTATCAAAAACTTGTAGAAGAGAAATTTATTAATATCAAGCATTTTCGTAATTTGAAGCAAATATCACATTTTTTCCTTTGGATGGCTTAAGTATTCCGATATGCTATCAATCCAACATGGGCCCATATTAAAATAATGCCTACTAACAAAGTTGAAATACGATTTTCAACAGATAATATCTTCAAGAAACTTTGGAAAAAAAAATTTTGAATATTTTTCTCCTACTCTCCAAGTGAGCCCCCATTACCCCTCAAAAGGAATTACGCCAATTTTAAAACATACAGGGGTATTTGACGAACTAAAACTGTAAAAAATTGGAATATCGTGGATGACTGCAGACATGCAGAGCATGCTAAGAACACTGAACATACCTATTTAATAGCTACATCTTATGGAAAGTTCTTGCAATACTGTTCAACATGTGCGGGCTAACTTCCTTAAATTGCTTTCACATTACAATAAGCCGTGATTTTTTTGTTAAAACGAATTTAAAGTAGTTTGCAAAAACAAGGGACTTTTGCAATTGTTCACTTCTATTCCAATTCTTTTCCGGGCACTAAACTTTTCAATTGAAACCCACAAAAAAACCTCCAACCGTGACCAAGTGCCATGAAAAATGAGGCAAAGAGAGAAGTTTTATAATGTAAAGCCTGCTTTAGTTACTTCAGTTTTATGCTGAAATTAACGAATTTTAAAAGTTTTCTAATTAAAGAAAAGACCCTAGATGCAGTGACGGTATTCTTTATGATGACAGTTAGAGTCGCACGCTTTCGGCTTAAGTAAAATTAAAAGAATTTACCTGCAGAGGTTCAGGAAGCCTGGAAAATGTTAAATTAGGTACGGTTGAATAAAAAGACGAAAGATCAGCGAATCGCGAATATTTTTGATCCGAATGAAGAACCACCAAAAATAAAAGATTTTAACTTCATATTTCCAATTTGATGTCAATGCCATTTTTGAAATTGTCATGTTTTGACGTTTGTAATTTTTCAAACATTTCAAAACTTGAAATTTTTTTCAATTTCAAACTCTTCAAACCAATATATTCATATCTAAGCATTTCTTTTCACGACCATCACCCAAATGCTTTTCTCATTTGGAAGTTTCCGACCTTCTTCTTCACATATCGTAGGATTAGTGATATAGTGGACAGATGATTAGTGATATAGTGAACCATAACATTTAATAGGAGGTATTGTCGAAACCGTTGAACCGGCATCGAAAAAAAACAACTATAAAACCTTTATTAATATTGTTTGCATTTTCTCTAACAATTATTAATTACTACCTTTAAACTTATTAAGTTGCATCGTATTTAAAAAACTATTTGTGTTCACCGAAAATAATGTTGTTTCGCTGTATAAGGAATATTTGAAGCAAAATAGATTTGGTTAACTTAAGTCAGCAATTATCTAAATATTTCTGCATATGACAAATAAAATGCTCCATATTAGCATTAGAACAGGTATAACTACTGCTATTTACCAGTACTAACTTACCTTGAAAGCTGACAAATTATCTATTCCACATTCAAGTACCGCTTCTCTTCCCAAAGGAACAGTTACATTTGGAATTGGACCTGTGAAGTTCGGAATATCTGAAAAGGAAAAAAATAGGTAAATCTCGACTTCTATTATTTATTACACATGTTTAATGAAATTAGTTACCTCCTTAATATTTGAAATTTAAATTTCTGTTGCACATACCACAAATAAATGCAATAATTGCTGCCTGCAATATAAAAAATTAACATACCAGGCAATTCCAATCCTTTCAAATTCATTATAAAAAAAAATATATATTTTATCATGTTTGCATAACACGCAAAATCAATACGCCTATTTAGTTTTTTCCAAATATCTCAGTTTTTGACTTTTTGAATGAAACAAGTGAACTTATTTTGTCATTTCTTTTTATTGTTCTTATTCACAAAGGCGGTTTTAATGAAAATAAAGTAAAAAACATTGGTGTGAGGGGCAAAAGTTTTTTTTAGGAAAAACGGGACTTTAAGCCAAGAGTTGTTAACGCGTTCACGGAAGGTGCTAAACGCGCGGCTATTTCAAAACAGTTTGTGTTACTCCGGTACAGTGTATGTGAAATAATTTCATCCTAGAAGCGGAGGTCCCACAGAACCACCGGTGATCACCGGTGACCATCAAGCAGATTTCCAACATTTGCAATTCCCATTGAACGGTCTCACAGGCAGCTTCACTAGTTATCCACTGCCATCCACTGTTAACCACCGTTTCCTGGTTCCGTTCCGTAGTTTGGTAGAAGGCGGTGAATGTGCGCATGCAGGTTAGAAATGTTATTGGCTTGGTTTGGGCACTTTCATAAAAAGTTAGGTTATATACTAGTAAACAGTGGCAACTGTTGAATAATTGCTGAGACCCTTCGTTACAGATTTTATAATTTTAGTCGGTAGTAGTGGGTGATAGTTGATGACAGTGGTTGCTGTGGGACCACTGTAAAATCAAATCAAAATTGGCTTTATTGCCACGAAAAAATCCACAAATTGAAATATAGTAAAACAGTACAAAAATAATTTAAATGCTGATTGCTTCAATGCCGCGTCGTTATCAACAATTAATTAGTAACAATGGGTACTTCTGCCAATAATTACTAAAGCTTTTGATTATTAGCTTTTTATTATTAAATTTAAAATTTGTCAAATACGTTTTGCTCAAATAAAACTTTATCAAGTGCAGTTTGTTGCTCTTCTTTTGTCGCCCATACTCCCGTCGTTTGAACAAAAAATACTGGAAACGAACTTTGTTGCTTTACTTTTGTTCGCTAGTGAACTTATATGTTACAGATAACGTTCGAAATTATGTTAATCTCGACATCAACCGGTCAGTATTGAAAATAACATGTTGCTTTGGATAATGTTTGATTTTTACCTTGGTTAAAAGGTACTCGCGTAACTAGTATTCCTGGTAGAAACTGATAGTATATTCACAATTTACTGCATAATATTGCAACGGAAATGGCCTGGGGTACTCACGTTTGGAATGGGGGGATCAAAATTGATGGTATTTCAGTAAATGGGAGTCCCATTTGCGCCCCATTTACTGTCAAATATGACACTGACAAGCGGGAGATTTCAACAATTAATTTTTTTGCTATTTTTTTCTGTACTCCTAAAACACCAACAGAGGAATGACGTCAATTTTGAAGCACCCTGTATAACGTAACTTATAAATGAACTCGACAACCTATCCGCGATCTCAGATCATCTGAACAACCAATATCCAGGCATCCATTTTGATGATGATCGACTGGCCTACTTATATGTGTTGATGCCTTGAACAAAGCATCGGAAATCCGCATAAAACGGAAGAACGTACGAACAATTTCAGCTTTTTGAAAAATTACTGCCAGAAGCGGAAGATTTGTATAGCATTGCATGAAACTTTTCAGAAACCCAAAACACACTGTTCTGTAAACCGCGAAGAAATCAGTTGAAACCAGGATTTACAAAACTTTAAGTTGGAACAAGAGAAATAATGACGGTCGTGTATGACCTTTTCTATGCGAGGAAACACAAAGTATGCTATACACAGAAACATAACTAGTGAAAACATTTGCTAATTTTGCAAAAGCCGGCAGCAACGCAAACAATAACCCATTTAGCTTCACATGCGCGGTAACAACTTCCAACAAAAAAGATTGCGATGCCAAAAAAGAAGGAATCGACCAAAACAAGTAAAGACAAAATATAGCACAAAACGAGAAAGAGAACCGATGCCACCTAAAACAGTGCTTGGGCATAGCAAGAAACATATCTAACTATACGCGATCGCACATACCACGTCATGACAATCCGTTCTTCAAAAGGCAGAGCTAACAATCGTCAGAGTTCAATCAAATCCTTGGAGGAAATCTCCTCAGAAGGTGGAAAGACGTTAACTTTGTATTGTTCAACAATATGAATGCTTGACAAACTCACCAGTATCGCCTTTTTAGTTATTTATTGCACTCCTTAATCGTTAGTTCTTCGAACTTCAGTTTTATCTTATGGTTTTGTTTCAGTTTTCTTTTATGTTCAATAATGGAAAATAGTATATTGTTCTAATATTAATAAAGTTTTTTAACTTTTAACTGATTTATATAGGTTGAATTAACTTTAGATTTTTAGAGAATTACTTTTCAAAGATACTTTTTATTTGTGCTATGAATAAATCGCTTTTACAATTAGAATTGTAGCTAACAGAGTGACTACGTCTCACAACTCGAAATTCGATTATCTGAATCCCTACTGTGTCGCACTGGGGTTCTTTATCAAGGTTGATGGTTTCCTAATATCTTTTCATTGTCCTAACATCTCTTTATGTGATCTTTTGTAATTTGTACCTCAATAATTCAAAGTCAGTACTTATTCAGGGTGAAACAATACCAGTTATATAAAAAAATGTACAACCTGCCGCCGCTTGTAATTTCTTCATTAGCAGCTGTAATTTTCAAGTGTAATATTTAATTAATAAAATTACACTATATATGTAGAACTATTCTTAATTTTGTCGACCACAGGTATTCTGCGAAAGTATATATTTTTAGGCATATAACCATTCTCATATTTAAGATATATTTAAAAAATACTTTTCAACTGTAAATAATTAGGTAACCTTTCACCATTATTTTTGAATCTTCTTAAGTAATTCGAAACATATTCAAAGGATGCTATAAAGTAAAATATGACCATGTTGAAAAAATCGTATACCGTCTTACAAGCAACTTTTTCTCTTTTCCTGTGTCAATGTATAATTTCGAATCATTTCAAAATTTCGTGCATTATTCATCTAGTTGTTTACGTGTTGCTGCACCATTCCTTCAATGATTTACGCCTTAAGTCGGTAAATTGAAAATTTTGCGCTTGAAGGAATGGCGCGATTATCCATCTTATTTCTGACGAGGCAAAATGTAGCAACACAGAAACTGCGTTTTAATGTTGTGTTTCCTGAATCATCGCCGCTTGTTTTTTTCGTCCAACATTTGCGACAACCTTTCGGAGAATTATATATAAAGCGGCTTTTATATTATCAAATCATTAATGTTGCTAACTGAATTTCAGTAAAGACATCCCAAATGGTAAAAGCTATATCTCAAAAAACATATTCTTTCAGTGCACATTTTCAAAATGGTTTAGCACATATTATTAAGCGTGAAGTTAGTCCATTTTCTATCATTTCGAGAATGTACGGAATTTACACATACATAATATAAACGCAAATTCATTACGATAATCAATATAAATGTCAGAAAGTGGTTTTGTAATGTCGGCACTAAGTATTGAAAAGTCCTAAAATCCACTAATCCAAAACCAAAATATTGGACTTCGTTTCAGCAATAAATTAATGAGCGGAGCGAAAATTGAGAGAGTGGTTCGTTTTTTTTATGTTTTTCCTTCCGTCTTTGCAAAAGTACCATTAAATCAACAGGATACCGAGGAAAATGTTATTTACAAGCGCCCAGAGAGATATTTCCATGGATCAATGGGAATTTTAGTTTTTAGCACCTTATTTAGAATTAATATTTCGGTTTTTACAAACATTTATGATTTAGTTATTTGCAAATGTGTCAATTTCGCATTAAATTCTTAGCCTCAATTTTAAACGTGCAGCTTTATTATATGTTTAGGCTGAGAAAAATGAGTTAATGATTGGAATAAATTACCCACCAACTAATGCTAGAATCATATTTTTGGGCAGCATCTGGAAAATAATATGATACAGCAAAATTTAACAGAAATGTGTGGTTCGTATAAAATTCATTCACGTGTTTGGAAACAACTGTATTCATTGACACGAGCAATGTGCTCTGTAAGAAATTTTACAAATTTATTTTATGAAAAATCTATGAAGATTGGTATGCCGTCATCATCAAGCAAGTCATAGATGTATAATTTTTAGGCAGTATAGTTGTAAATTACTTCGTTTAATAATTTATTTAATGAGCGATTCGAACCATCTAGTAATTTCGCTAACAGTGTAGTAGCTTTCATCGAAGCAGATGACACATTTTCATCTTCTGCTTCTGCCTAGTCTTATTTTAATGTCTGAAGAGTTGTGACACACTGGTTGCTTAGTTGTTTCCATTGCTTGTGATCTCCTGCCGCTCTTAAGTTAACTTGCAGTGGTTGTCCCGTTATGTTCTAGATTTGGTCCAACCATCTCGACTGGGATTGCGTCGCGGTCTTCTTCCCTCAATTTTGCCATGTACTGTCAACTTCTCCAAGTTTCCTTATCTCCTTTTGGTTACTTGTAAAAATTGTGGACAATCGGTCATGAATTTCTATGTCATTTATTTTCGATGCATTAGTTCTTGGGGCCGTCCAAAGTATCGGGAGCCTTCTCTTCCAGCACCAAATCTCAAATGCATCTATGGGTTTTCTGTCAGCGCGGATGATTGTCCATGACTCAGAGTTGTATGCCAAAACAGTGATCACTAATGTTCTTCTTCCCATATCTCGACCAAGCTGGAAATTGCGGTTCTAGCAATTGATATTCGTCTTCAAAATTTCATTTTGGCATCCTGCCTTCCTAGCTACTAATGCTCCGAAGTAAATAAACTCATCGAAAACGTCGAAGTCATTATGTAGTGGTGGTTTCGACACCACATCAAGAAATTCATTCATGTCATCATTCGTAGACAGGATCACTGTCTGCATTGCCTCTGAATCTCTTTGTTCAACTCTCTGTGCTGGCCTTTACTTGTTGGCGTAGTTACAAAATTTATTTTTAGCTCTTTTCTTTTGTTAATCCTCTCGAGAGTTGTTTGCGTTAT